AGAGGAGGAGGAGGAGGAAGAAGAAGAAGAGAAGAAGAAGAAGAAGAAGAAGAAGAAGAAGAAGAAGAAGAAGAAGAAGAAGAAGAAGAAGAAGAAGAAGAAGAAGATATATCTACATGTATTTATTGTATCCACGGCGTCAGGTCGGAGCGGACGAGAGCCGCGTGAAGGACATCCAGACAGCCCTGGACACAGTGTACGTCCCTCTGTCTCCCGGAGACACGCTGTTCTTCCACGCCAACCTCCTGCACTGTAGCGCGCCCAACACCAGCCCCAGGCGACGCTGGGCCTTGCTCTCCTGCTATAGCCGTGCAGACAACAAGCCGTACGACAAAGTAAGATTTGATTCGTTTGTTTGTTTGGTGGGTGGGTGGGTTGTTTGTTTTTGCGTATTTGGTTGATTGTTTCGCATTTTCAGCGTCAATTTGTGGACTGGTTGTTGTTTTTTTTCATTTTCAGTGGCAGATTGATTGTCAGATTGTCCATGATAAGTTCATTGCTTGTTTGTCCGTATAATAACTGTCCCCGTGGTTTTATGCACCCCGCAGAATTTAGCATAATTTGATCATTTTTTTGCATAATTTCTGATTATTTTCCGTTATCATTCTTTGTTAAAATTAAGAGAATCCCACACTTTCGCATTTTTGGGCTCAGTTTGCATAATTTCAGAATTTTTCTAGCACAAAACGACGGGGACAGTCATAATGATTCGTTAGTTTGTTTCATTGTTGGTAGACTGTTTATCAGATCGATAGTTTGCTTGTGCGTGTCTGGATGATTCGTTTGTTTGTTTTATAGTTTTGTAGACTGACTGTCAGATTGATCATTAAAATTTGTTCGTTCGCGTCAGCAGTATTCATTTATTATTTTGATAAGATTACTTTTTTTAAAATAAAATGCCAGATTGATTGATCTCAGTCCAGTAAGCCCTGCTCGACAAACAAAGTATAAGACTGAGAGTGTCTCCTCAACAGTCTAAACTGTGTCGATGGGGGTGTAAGCACATTCGTTGAAGAAGAAAAAAAAAGAGATTGACGGTTGAGTGAAAAAAGAGGGGGGGGGGGGTGCTACCTAAATAGGTTGTTCGTTCGTGTCTGTGTAAAACAGGCCCTACGGAAAGGTTACTTATTGCAAGGTTGGGTTTTTTCCTGCGCCCCCAGTAACACATTTTGGAGGAGGGTTGCTCTGACCGTGTCTGTCAGGACCAAGCCAGCCTGGGTGGGAAACAACATCCCAGTCCAAGCAGATAGATGGAGATACAGTTAAAAAATGTCCAAGACGGCCACGCATTGTCGAGGAGATATATGGCTTTCTTCGACAGGCGAACGTTTGGATAGTATTATTATAAAGTAAAAGAAACAAAATTCAATAAAACCAAAACCAAAACCAAACCCCAAAAAGCGGAAGGGGTGAAGTGGGAAGTGGCTACATGTATATCTGTCCCTTTGGTTTTATGCACCCCGCATAATTTAGCAAATCTGAGCATTTTTGCATAATTTCTAATTATTTTCCTTTAGCATTCTTTGTTAAAATTAACAGAATCGCATAATTTCACATTGTCGGGCTCAGTTTGCTTAATTTCAGATTTTTTTCCCTTAAAGCCGCGGGGACAGGTATTGTACAGGTGATTGTCTGGTACAAGTGACCATTAGAGGAGGTTAGACAGTGTCGGATTTTTTATTTTTTTTTTAACTTTTCCCGTTCAGGAACCGAACTCTTATCTTCAATTATGTGAAAAAGCGAAGCGCCTCTAACCATTAAACCACAGATACCAGTGTGGCTTGTACATGTGTATAGGATAGCTGTTTGACAGCCTGCATGAGATCAGCTTTCCTCCCCTGCTTGTATTGCAGTAAGATTAAGATAATGGTGTCTTCCCAGTCGTAAGAGTACGCAATATGTAGTACAAACAGTACATGTACAATTACGTAGTCTACATTTAGTACATGCCTTTGAAATGGTCGCCTCTGTACAGCCTACTGTGTCTCGTTGGATTAATCCCTCCTCCCCACCCCCACCCTCTAAAACAAACCCACACAAAAATGAAAATAAGAGTCTCGTACATTGTGTGTGTGTGTGTGTGTGTGTGTGTTTATGTGTGTGTGTGTGCGCGCGCGTGTGTGCGTGTGTGTGTATGAAAGAGAGAGAGAGAGAGAGAGAGAGAGAGAGAGAGAGAGAGAGAGAGAGAGAGAGAGAAAGAGAGAGAGAGAAATTGAGAGATTGAAAGAGAGAGAGAGAGAGAGAGAGAGAGAGAGAGAGATCGAGTGAGAGAGAGAGAGTCGAGAGAGAGAGAGAGAGAGAGAGTAAGGAAAGGCTTGATTTCAATGCATGTAGTTCGTTTGGCCTGCTTTTATTTATTAGACAGGAATGACTGGGGAGTAGAATCTACCAGTAGCACCCACCAACCGCCCGCTTCACCTGCTCTCATATCAATACATGTATCTCTCTATAACAACAGGTTATCTGCTCAGAGTACAGGCCTTTGGAGATGACCGACAACGAGGCTGTGCTCCGGCAAGGAGTAAACTGTGACCTTGACGGCAAGGAAATCACCATGAAGGTCAACAATGAGTACAAAGTTGTCCGCCCCTGACAACAAGGTCGTTGGAAGTATTTCTGACATCTTTGAAGTTCCTTCCCTTTGAATAAAGTTATTATTGACAACTGACGTCTAGGAAAGTCTTCCTATGAATAAGTTTTTGACAATTGACGTCTATGAAAGTCTTCCCTATGAATAAAGTTATTATTGACGACTGACATCTCTATGAAAGTCTTTCCTATGAATAAATTATTTTCAATCGACATATCTATGAAATTCCTCCTGTGAATAAAGCTAAGGATAATTGACACCTCTACAATGAAATTTCTCCCTCAAATGAAAATTTTCAATTGAGGTCTATCAAATTCCTCCCTTGATAAGTTGATATAGTATTGACAATTGACATCAAATAAGTTCCTCTCTTGACTAACGATACTGACAATTAACAGCTACTGTATATTATGAAATGGCTTCTCTAAATAAAGATGTAGTCTTGACAATTAACATCTCTGAAATTTCTCCCTAAAATAACTAGAAAGAACGAATAAAAAGTTTTTGAAAATTGACCTCTACTCTACAGAATAGCAGTTCATCACTAATAATAAAAACTAAACAGGGCAGTCAGCGTTACATCCAGGAATAGACTGTACTATCCTCAAAACCCCAACAAAGACAGAAAACTGATCCACTTTAGTTTCATTTTATTTCATGAAATAAACATATATATACAGGTACAAAAATAAATGTTTATATGAGCACGGACTAGTACTTTCCTCTGCAATTCATGTGTAGGCCTATGCACGTCATGTTCAGACATAAGTTTCCCTCTCTCTTTCTCTCTCTCTCTCTCCCCGCTCGCTCTCCCCGCTCGCTCTCTCTCTCTCTCTCTCTCTCTCCCGTCTCTCTGTGTAATATATTTGTACATGTAGAGGGAAAAAAAGCTATTTGTGGATCAGGATTTTTCTTGCATAGTCATCTGTACATATCACATCTGCTAGTTCTGCCATCTTCTGCCTAAAGCATGTTCGTGCCATCACTATCACTATCAACCTATCACAACTATGCCTTGCTGTCTTTCTCTACTTCTCTTTACATAATGTAGAGATACAGTCTAGGATGCACATAGCAAAACACACACAAAGCAATAAGATTTTTACGTTCGTAATTTTTTCCTTATATACGTGTATGTTCTTTAAACTAAAAACACGTACATAAGGAAAATTCATACATGATATGATAAAAAGATTTTTGCATCCCGCCAATATTGTTGCCTGCGTGCTAGATTGTATTTACAGTCAAAACGTGTGTGTCAGCGTAACATACACACACAAATATTACATGGTCATGAGTGTAATTTTTTGCAGAACTACCCTCATAAGTCAGCATTTAACAACTCTTCTAAACCATCATCCAAATCAATGTCTTCGCCAAATCCTGTGGAGGAAGAAGCCAACGAGGCAAACCTGGACGACGACATGTTCTTGGCTACTGCTTCACCCTCCGTCCTACGCAGCAGCCACGAGGGAGCAGAGTCTTGTTTTCCCCGGGAGGAGGAGAAAGATGAAGAAGGAAGCCTACGATCCAATCCGGCAACGGGCCGAGTTTGAGAGGAGGGAGCCATATTGTCCGATGAGGAATGATGTGTAAGGTTTTTGTGGACACTTCTACCCGAAGAAATCGATTCAACGGCAGAAGTGGCGTTTCTTTGTGTGTGACTTTTTTGTCTGCTGAACGCACTGGGGGTGACATTGTCTGCATTGCTTGTTCTGCTTTGCTGTGACATTTCACCAACCTTTAACTGTGGAGAAGAGTTGAGCAAAGGGAGACGATCCGAAGAGCGTCCACCCAAAGCTGTCGGTGTTGACCCTATGGCCATAAATGGAACGCTAGAAGGCGGAGCGACGTTCTGAGAGTTATCCCCGTGACTGCTTTGACTGAGTAACACACCATCTGCAGAAGGAACAGCCACGTTGTTCTGTTGTGAGGAGGACACAGCTCCTCCGGAGTCCATCTTTTTCAGCTTTGTGAACGTAAACTTTTTGAACTGATGCTTTTCCCGTGAGACTGGCACTTTTGAGGGTGAGGGAAGGAAGGAAGGAAGAGAACTCTGAGATGACAATGCTCCACTGGGGATAATAGAATTGCTACTTGGGGGTTCTGAGTAAAGATCTTGCGAACCTGAAAGAGGGAGAGCGGAGTTCTGAATTTCGTCTTGTGTCCTCAGCTGTAAAGTGCTGACTGTCAAGTCAGGGTTCAAATCTTGAGATTGGTCTACTATGTCATCAAATGACTCATCCAACTGGTCTGCAAATGCTTCAGCCTCATTGATTTGCCATGCCGCTTCGGACATTTCTGCAGCAGAGTTCAAGTCTGTTTTATTTCTGGCAGCTTTTTCTTCGATACCAGAACGCTGCGAAGAAACAGAGTCCTCTTTTGAATTGGAATGATTGTTTGTAGAATTACTTACTTTAGTACACTTTCTTCTCTTTTGAGACGTATTAGGTTGAGCAGAACTGGTGAGAAGGGGCAACACAGGGTCATTTAAGGGCAGCTTGGTCGGTGAAGAGAGAAAATCGTCCATGTCTTTATCGTAACTCTCTGACAGCTTAAACAAGTTCACTTCAGCAGCACTCTTTGGAGGGTTATTCCTTTTAAATGAAGAGCGAACCTGTAGCACATCTGTATCATCAGAAGGACTGTCCACTGTATTTTCTCTGGATGGATCATCCACTCCTGACTTGGAGCAAACTACAGAAGATTTTCTTTGTAGTGAGCTGTCGTCAGTCTGGTCTTTCAGAGATTTGGTTGACCTACTTCCTCTTCCATCAGCATCCATCTTGGGACCGGCATCAGATATCTCTCTCGTGGGCTTATCTTTCTGATGTGACATGGCTGAGCCTGGAGAAGAAGCAGTCTTTTTAAATTTAAATTTTGAAAAGAAACTGGAGAGATCAGCAGAATCTTCACTTTTCGGAGTCAAACTCTTGGGTCCATTTTTTTGCCCAACTTCTTTGTCACTGGTTAGGTCCTCAGTAGCATATGCCTTCGGAACGTCATCTCTCTTGTCCCGAGTGAACTTGGACCTTTGCGTGATCCGGCCATCGCCTTTTCGTGTTGGAGCCCAGATGCTTGCATTTTGATCTTCCTCTGTGCTGTCCACTTTTGCCCCTGCAAGTTGGACTGAAGAGCTCTCTATGGCCTCATTTCCATTCTCGACATCATAAATTACTATTTCATTTTCAGCAGGAGACATGTCAACACACCCCGAGGACAATTTCGTCCCAGTTATCTCATCCACAGGTGCTGATGTCGCAGAATCAGGCACGGTGCTAATTTTTTCCGCACCAAAATGACAACTCTGCTTGTCAAAATAAGACGACCTCCCGTCACATTCATCAAGGTCACTGCCATTGTTGTTGTCCTCGTTCTGCGTCGTTTCCTCACAGCTGCTGAAAGAAAACTGCTTCAGTTTCTGAAGAGTTGAACGAGAGACAGGTGTTTTTATCGTACTACCTTTAGAACATGGCAGACTCCTTTCCGTATCTCTCACAGCAGTTGTCACATTTTCTCCGTCCCCATCCTTCTGTCCGTGGTCCGAAGGACTTGAATGTTTCCTTTTCTTATTGGAGATGCTTTCCCTCTCTTCCTCACTGTCTTTCTTAGTCTTTTTAATTTTCGTTCCATCCAAATTCTTTTTCCTTCTTTCCTTTTTATCTGACAATCCTTCAACTTGGTCAGAATGTTTGGAGTTTTTCTTGGTCCTCTTTACTCCCCTTGAGAGAACATTGACCTGTTTATCATCATTACCTCCACTCAAGCCATGGGCAGAATCATCTAAACCATTGTCTTTGTCGTCAGCACATTTCTCATTCTCAAACTCATCACAGCTTTCATCACCACTACCTGGAATGGATTTCTCAACTTCTTCACTTTCTGTTACATTTTCTATACTAACTTTTCTTCTTTTTACCTTTTTCACCTTTTCCTTCTTTCTCTTTGTAGAGTTCTTGGAATCTGACGAATATCCTACCTGTTGACTGTCTTTGTCTATAGAGCGTTTTGCTTTCCGAAATCCATCTTTGCTGATCACTAATTTACCAGCTCTTTCTAGAGCTTTCTCTGAGAACAAGTTGACATCATCACCTTGCTCCTCCCGCAGTTTCTCTCTGTCCTCCATCAACTTGAGCCTGTGCTGAATCGTTGACCCGATGCAGTCCCTTTCAGTCTCAACATCGTGATCAGCTTCAGCTGACTTTTTTCCTACAGCAGCTTTACTGCTAATCACACCTTTAGTATTCTCTACCTTCTTATTTTTCTTGCTGAAGAGTTCTTTACCAGTTGCAGTCAAATCCAACAGATCTATCAACGCTGACTTATCTGCGCTGTCATCCGCTAAAAGATCAAAGTCGTCAGACGCCAGATCAAGGAAAGGATCATCAGGAACACAGTTCACAAACAACGCACTTTTACCTTTACTTCCCTTCTCAGCTTGGATTTGTTTTAACGTCGGGTTGGGAGAAGAACGGATCATTTGTGGGCCGTTGGTTCTACCCTGTGCCTGTTCCCATCTTTTCATCTGAGTATTCTGAGTCCCTGAAAACTTGGCACCATGACTCTCTGTCACTGCATCGATGGTGGAGACGTCAAGAAGAGGTTCACCTCTCCGTAGGTTGTGTGGTTTGATGGGTGTACTCTGTCGGACCAGATTATCGTGGCCCAGCTGTGACGGGCGAACGTCTTCAGACACCTGATGGTCATGTCTCCCTGTCTCGTCATCCTCAGTGCGGACAGATGTCACCTCCTCACCAGGGGTCACCGATGATGCACAAGAGTCGAGGTCAGTTGAAGCCGCAATTCTCTCACGGGCTGTCTGGATTTCCTCAGCAGCAGTTGATGAAACTCTTCCACCAAGGTCATTTGATGTCCCAGCCCTACAGTCACCCTCTGTCTCATGTTCTGGTTGAGAGTTTTGGAAGGAAGATGAAACAAGAATCCCTTGTGGCGGCTGAGACAGCTCATCTGAACGTTGTGAGAGAGAAGCAGACATTTGTTGCTGCTGTTCTCTTTGCTGCGAAGCTTTCTGTCGCTGTCTGTTCACCTTGACCTTGTTCCAGTGGGTCAGCTCCACCTCCAAGAGGTCATCCAGTGCAAGTCGTCTCAGAATCAGATCCGCTGAAGAAAAAAAGAAAAAACATAGAGACATGCAAAATTCCGAGAGAACATGTAGGTCATACTGTGAAAAAAAACACAATTTGCTCTTTATCATTTCCGCGACACTACTGCTTATTCAAAAAACTTAAAGTTAAAGCTTGAATTGTACTTTTGGTCAGCTTCTGCAGCAAGCTCTGCCATGCTGAGAAGGAGTCTCAACAAAACTTAGAATGAAAAGCATAAGAAAATGCTGCACAAACATAACATAAAGTTTGAAAACAACCTTCCCACATTTTTAATAGAAAATAGGCCGTTCCCTCTGATCTTGCAAAGGAACACGACAATACGACAGGGTTATCTGACAGCAAAATTGGAGGAAATAATGCAACTCTTATTTTTTGTTTCAATACCAAGGCCAAGGCTAATCTTAATTGTGTCAATGAAGGCTTCAGCTTCAACCTAGCCTGTCAAGGTCAATCAGGGATATGCTGGATATATCACAGGAGAAAGACAGCAATATTTGATCAAATATCTCCCGCACCAGTGAGTCAAATTCACATCTTCTAGCTGTCTTGGTTAAAAACCTAACAATTCAGCAGACCCTACAACAAACATTTTGATTGTTTGAGCAAAGAGAAGTATATCGACACAATAGCTGTCATTTAGTGCTGGGGGAAAAGCAAGAAAAACAGACAGAAATTACAGATGGAAACCAAGAAGTAGGATTTACCGGAGGCACCCTCCACCCATCCAGTGACAGAGAGTGGAATCTAAACTGTTGCCATATCAACAGGGTCATTTCAAAATTGCGTGAGTCATTTTTTTTTCAGCTTACTAGTAAAACTTGCCAGTTATATGTTTCGCATCTAAAATATGGCAGGCTTCTATCTTGTGTACAGAAAATCAAATTATTGAGAATTTTCTGCCTGTGCTTTGTCACAATGTTGACTTAGTTAAGCGGTTGTGTTATGGCAATAGTAGTTTGTCCTACCTTGAAGAAGATACTCGTCATCTGCGTCCTGAGGGAAAGCCGTGTGCAGAGTATTCACACCACCCAGCAAAGCAGCTCCCTAAAACATGACACGATGAAGAAATATAACAAAGAACCAGTAAAAACAAATACCGTAATAAAGTCTGAGCCCTATTTAAAATTTTCCACCCCCAGACAATTTTCCACATTGTGACCAAGCCATTAATTAGGAAGTCATTTTTTTTCAGGGGGGGGGGGGGGGGGAGACAATAATCAGAAAAATATAATTTCTTATTCATACATACAAACCCAAATATACTCAGACAAACACACTCATTCACACACACACACACACCCCCCCCCCTACACACACACACACACACACACACCCACACACACCCACCCAAACACACACACACACACACCCACCCACACCCACACCCACACACACACCCACACACACACACACACCCACACATACACACACACACCCACAGACCTGCATGCTGGACTCCATCAGAGTGACCGCCACCACAGCGTCCTGTACCGTCACGGAGTCTCGGAACATAAGGCGGGCGTGGGCTGTGGTGAGGGAAATAAAACTAACTTTACTTGTTAAATACATGGAAACGTTTTAATTCGCCATCCTTACTTTCATACTGATCTATAACTCCCCAGGTGGAAACTTTCTAATTCTCCATTCTCCTCATTAAATTAAATCTTACCCAAGTGTACGGGCACGCAAAGAATAAGTATGCCAGAAGGAGAGACAAAGAAAACTAACTTCACTCAAAAAAGAAAATGAAAAATTGTAAAATTTGCCTTCCTTACTCTGAAATAACTCATCTCAGCAGGAATTTTCTCATTCGCTATTCTCACATTTAATTAAATCTCCCCCCTGTGGAAATTTTTTGATCTGATGAACCCCGCAACCAATGTAGCCTCACCAATGTAAAGGAAGAATAAGAAAAAGGGTCTCATAATGGACTGAAACAGACAACACAAAAAGAAACAGACATATCACAGATGTAAACAAATGACTCCAAAATGTTTGAGACAGTTTTACTTCTGTTGCACTTTCTGCTTTTTTTTCTCACCTCTATTCTGGAAATAATATTATTTTAATATTATCATATGTGCTCAACCAGAACTGAGAAGCGACTCACCTTGAGACAACCGTATCATACTCTGCAACAAACGCATCGTTGTGCGCGCAGCATTGCGATCATCAGCACTACGTTGGGCTCGATAATACGCCTGGAGAACTCTTCAAATTAAAAGAGAAGACACCAAAAAAAATTCGTTTACATGATAAAAGATGATTATATTTTCAATCAAGAGAAATCTGAATGAATTATGAGTTGAGCATGAAAATAAGTGATTCTCACCAAACGTCGCCCCAACAAGGGCTGACTTTTTAACAGAAAACCTTTATGAACTACAGTGGATAACACTTAAAACATGTGTGGTTAATCCAAAAACAGCAGTTAACCAAAAGAAAATATAATCCTCCATTTTTTTCCTTTTATTTGAGGTCACAAGTACGTCTTACAGGAACAGAAAACAGTGAGCTGTAATTGTTGTGATATGCAAAGGATGTGGGGAGCTAACCTATACTTTACTTTTGCCAGCAAAACAATGACAACGGCAATGATGGTGACAAGAACAGCAACAACGACAACAACCACAGACCTTAATGGACAAAGTAGGCCTACAAACAACATCAGCAACTACAACAGACCACAAGGACAAAGTACAAACAACATCAGCAACTATAACAGACCCCAATGGACAACCTACAAACAACATCAGCAACTACAACAGACCACAATGGACAAACCCAAGAACAAATCAGGACTCACCTACTTGTTTTACTTTTAGTAAGAGTTTTACAGCACTTGCAACACAAGTAGGTCATACAAGTGTCGAAGATAGGATGTTACAAGAGAATTTAATTTTAGTTTTAGTAGAAGATGTTTTACGGTGCTCGCAACTGCATATGGTCATTTGTGCACCAGAAGATCAGAGGTGTTACAAGAGAGTAACAAACATAAAAAAAGAAGAAAGGGAGATAAGGACTATCTATAGATGTTTGATAGGAAAGAAGAAGCAAACCACATCAGCACCCGCAAACCACCCACTACAAGAGAGTAACATATGGTACACAAAAAAGGAGAGATAAGGACCTTAAATACTTGATAGGAAAGAAGGAGCAAACCACACAAGAGCATCCACCAACCACCCACGACTCACCTGCTTGAGTCCGGTGTGAGCCGAGGGTTCAGAGCTCTGACCATCGTCAGGTACGCCTGCATCTTCTCCATGGACCACAGGCCACTCAGGTCAGCTGTGACACCGAACAAAAAAACAAAAATACAGTCAGGATATTTTCTGCCAGAATTAGTCTCATCAGCCACGGCAGAAGCTACAAGTCATCGTAACCTTCTAATTCTCCTTCCTCTACCATTTTGCTGGAGAAATATTCTCCTCTCTTAGTTTAGTTTTAGTAGAGGTTTTACGGCGCTCGCAACTGCATAAGGTCATATTAGTGCCAAAGATTAGAGGTGTTACAAGAGAGTAACAAACACAAAAAAGAAGGAGGAGAGATCAAGACGATAGATGTTGGGTAGAAAAGGAGGAGCAAACCACACCAGAGCACCTGCCAACCACCCACATATTTTCCCCTGTGGATGTATTGGTCATTATTGAGATTGAAGGATGAGCTATTATTATTATTATTATTATTATTATTATTATTATTATTATTACTACAGTCAAGATAATATTTCAGGCAGAGAATAGAAACCAACACGGACAACAAAAGTAAAGATAGAAAACTGATAGGAACAACAATATGACAACAACAGTAACATCAACAACAGTAACATCAACGACAAAAACAATAGTGATAACAAGTTACAATAGCGAGAGCAACAACAACAACAACGACAACAGCAACAACAGTACCATGACAACAACTTACCAGCCGGGTCTTTGCCCTCCAGAATGAAAGAGGAGACAACTCTGTCCCAGCGGTCATTCTGCGAGTCCAGTAGGACCAGGACCAGATCAAAGCGGGAAAGCAGCGGACTGGCCAGGGCTACGTTCACACACAGGGACTGTAAGAACAAAGAACAGGGAGTGGTCCAGGACATAGAGGTTAGAGGTCACACATTATAAAGTTGAGAATAATGATACCAGAAAAAAAAAAGTAGAAATAAATTATAGAAAACTTGACAGCATAGAAAGATATCAGAAAAATTTAGAACTGTAGAAATAAAGTAAAAATATATGGAGTGTGCAAAACTTAAACAATAAGCAATATAAAATAGCAATGTAGAAAAATAAAGTACAAAAGAAATACATAAAAAGTATACAAAAATGAAGAAAAATACAGAAATGTGGCCCTTCCTTATAAATACCTTAGAGTGTTGAAAGGGATGTTAAACCCAAACTGTATCACACAACTCAAAAAAACATTTGCCCTACAATGACACGTCCTGCACAGTTCACACAGGCTCACCTCGTTAGGATCATAGTGTCCTTTGGGGTTGGTGGCAGCCAAGATTGTTGTTCGTGTGTTGAGTTTACACACTAGCCCGGCCTGCAGACAGAAGCAGAGACATAACACTGATGACATCTCAGATATACATACAGGAGCAGCGGTGGTAGAAGGGGTTGAAGTAGTAGCATCAGCAAAATCTTGGACAAAATGTTTAACCCCAAATACTGTCCAAATTGTTCAAGACGGCCACCCGTCATCGAGGAGAAGAGTGGTTATGAACGTCCTGGAAAGTGTCTTTGCACATAGAAAAAACCTATAAGGGGACGTGGAAACTGATAGTTTTTTAGTTTTAGTAAGAGTTTTACGGCACTTGAAACACAATAAGGTCATATAAGTGCAGAAGATTAACAAAGACACAAAAAAGAGGGAAGATCGAGACGATAGATTTTTTATAGGAAAGAAGGAGCAAATTACACCAGAGCACCTGCCAACCACCCACAAACTGATTGTTTGTACAGGCGATTATCTTGAACAAGTGGCCTTTGGAGCAAGTTAGACTATACCTGTATAAAGGACCTCATGTCTTACGAAAAGAGCCTGACTCCAACAACAAAGGCACCAGTCCCCTACACCCTGTAACATCCCACCTTCGCCACGCTGATAGTCTGCTGCTCCATAGCCTCATGGATGCTCGTCTTGTCGTGTTCTTTGATGGAATTAAACTCGTCGATACAGCACAAGCCTCCGTCGGCCAACACAAGAGCACCGGCCTCCAACTGCCATTCTCCTGAATCCTGAAAAAAGAAAAACTCATCATCAACACTGTGAGTGCTAACTTCCTCTCCCTGGGAAAAAATAGAAGGTTAAATGTGGCGGATTTGCAACATGAACCATCAATGTTTATATCTGAAACAAATCATTTTAAAAATAATAACCAAGTAATGTAACAGAATTTCATCACTGGTGTAGAAAGGTGTATTTTTAAAAAATAATTTTTTAAAGTGTTTTACGGCCCTCGAAACTGCATAAGGTCATATGAGCCCGCGGGACACATTAAACTTAAAGCTGTATCTAATTATGGTCCACACAACAGTAGTGTGCACTGTTCCATCAAAACATCTACGCTCGTAAGACGGCCATCTATTTCCAAGGAGAAAAGTAAGTGGCCATCTTTGGCATGTGGATGTCTTACACAGCATCATCAAAACGTTGTTCTACGAGAGGTGAGAAAGGGGAAATGGCCACTTGCAAAGGTAATTGTCTTATTCAGGTGGCCATTAGAGTAGGTTTGACTGTATTTGCATTGCATTGGTCTACATTTAATATTCTGTGATGATGTCACATCTAGCTTAGGACGCCAGAAAATGCTGGTCGCGGTAAGAGTAAGGAAACAATTGAGGTTCTGTACAGTGTGTGTCACCTTGTATCTCCTCAAATGACGCAAAAATGTTTTTACTGCTACATCTTCTCTTTCATCTTGAGACCGGTCGTGACTCCCTTTACCCATCGGCCGTAATTGTAATAGTGTGCCATGCCGCTCGACACAAAGAATCACACTCACATATTCTGTATGTAAAGTTGAAGGGCTTGACTGCTTCACTTCAGACGCCAGTCTATAGGTTACCCCAAGGCAGTAATATATTGCTTTGAAAGTGGATGTAATTCATCACTCTAAAGGCAAACTATGACCAAAGATGTCTGTTTCAGATTTGAGACTTACAAAGAAGAAAAATGAATGTAACATAACAAGCACACTGGGGTCTACAGCATAGCAATTAAGAGTTTTGCCATCACATGCAGAAGTCCCAAGTTCGATTCCCGAGAGAGGAGGATTTTTATCGAGTCTCTCAGCCTTTCTGCTGGGATGTTGTATAACTCTCATCCCAGGTTGGCCTGACAGACAGGGTTCAAGCCTGCCTCCTAAATGATCTGAATTGTGTCACTGGGGGCATAAAAACAGCTATTGAAAAAACAAACAACAGCACACCTTCACTGCTGTAACAGTCAGCCCTGCGCTTGTGCTGCCTATACCAGTAGTCAACACCGAGCGAGGCGTGATCTTGGACGCATACTTCAGGAACTGAGATTTCCCCGTCCCTGACGAACAAAAATGAACAGAAAATAAAAACGTCAATTTTAATAAACTGAAACTTCCCCACCCTCAAACCATTCCAAAGACAAGACAGATTGGGAACAACAGAAGGAAAGAACAGCAGTCAGAGTATGAAACTCAGACCATCATAGAAAAGGCATTCCCATAAAGTATGGCATGATAACTAAAATATTAAAGGAATTGTGTACTTCATAAGAGGGGTAAGAGGGTAAACTACCACCAAACAGAATAATTAGCAATTCCCCGGAACCAAACAAATTCAACAGAGTGAAATAACCAATAACAAGCACTGTGTATGCTATAAACAGCAGTCTTACGTAAAACGGGTTCTTTTTTCCGCTCTCGACTTGAATTCCTGATTTTCTTTTAAATTCACGTAATGAAGCTGTTTGCAAAATGTTAAAAGGGGTTCTACAGCATTGGAACACATGGCACAGAATGACTTAAATCATGAATTCAAAACATATATATAATCGAAAAATGAAGAGGACAAAACGCATTTTAAGAGAGCCATGAAAAAAACCTGGTGTACAGTACCTAGAAAGTAACCTTTTGCAGGACTTCCAACACCTTAGCTACAATTATATCCTTCCAAATTCCATGAAGTAAATTTATTCCAATTTGGCAAATTGTAACAAAAAGACTCCATTTAGTTGTATGATCCCTACATGTACTGAGGCAGCCTTAACTCTAAACCTAACCCGTTCATCTTACCTGGATCTCCCACAAGCAGCAGGTGAATTTCTCCCCTCACTTTGGACCCCCCTTCATCCACGCGCTGAAATAAAGTTAGGGATAAAATGTTCACGATTGTGAGAGAGAAACAAAACCGAAATGTTTATAGAGTTTGCCATGGAATTTAAAAGTTATTTAGTTCAGTAATTTTAGTAAAAGCTTTACGGCACTTGCAAGACAAACAGGTCATATACCTTCTGAAAATCTGAGGTGTTACTGGAAGTAACATAAAATGTAAAGAAAAAGGCGATACATGGAAACGAAAGAAGGACTAAATCACAACAGAGCACCCTCCTTCCACCCACAAATGTTTTTTTATTGTGTACACATTTGTATAAAATTTCAGATGGGAGCTGATCATCTTGAATGTGTGACAACCTTGCCACCACTGGTAGTTTTGTTTTTGTTGTTTCAGAAATGTGAAGCACATCAACACAATAGCGGTCACTTGACACAGGAAAAGAGTAAGACAGAAAAACTGAAACAGAGGAGAAAAAAAGAAGTAAGACCTACCAGTGGCCCCCTCCAACTATCAACTAGCCAGCACTAGAGTTCACTTGCTGGACATGATAACAACCATAGCGTCCACTCCGCCGTTTGAACAGAACCCAATGTCCGCAAATCTGGGTCAAATTCATTTTTCTTAGGGATTCAATTTAAGTGAAAATGTCCACATCTCTCTATCTTTGTTTGATATCGATATCATTTTTTAGATTTTTAGTTACTTGGCTTCAATTCAAGCATCAGAACAGTTGATTAAGTCTTACTCTTGAGGTCAGTCTAGAGTACAGGTGTCCAATCCCTAGCATGAAAAGTGTGCTGAGGACTGACTTCCTCAGTTTCAGTAAGAGTTTTACGGCACTTGCAACACAATAAGATCATATAAGTGTCGAAGATTAGAGGTGTTACAAGAGTGTAACAATCATAAAAATGAAGAAGGAGAGATAAGGATGATAGATGTTTGATAGGAAAGGAGGAGCAAACCACACCAGAGCACCCGTCAACCACCCACACTGACTTCCTCGAGTAGGCCAAGCACCGGTGAGGTACAGTAAAGTAATCAACAACAAAGCTCTCCTGACCAGCGGCCTAATTTACCTGCAGTCCACCGGCAAGCACTACGGCCACCGCTAGCTTGACCACGTATAAGCCATACACCTGTGGGCAGAGGCTCGACAGAATGGCATTACGGCCAGCTAAGGGGGATAACTGATGCTCATTCCAGAAGTCCTTGATTTCATTTTTCTGGGAAGGAAAACAGAAACAAGAAGCACTTATGAAAATTATTTGAGCTGCTGTGGGCTCTTGCTCTCAGACCCAATAGAAAATTTTATAGATAGAAAAAAATAATAATATTCAAATGATGTAAATTTTTCACCTTGCATCACCAGAGAAGTGGAGAGGAAATAGAAGTTAAAACTTAACAGTGAACATAACAGATAATTATATCCCTCTGGGAAAATGTTTGTTAGCTGACAATGAAAGTAGTCACTTTTAACAGACAATGTACCAAATAAAAAGAGATACTTGAGTGGATAATTCATAAAACCTTTAGTACAAAATGTAAAATACAAAAATATTACTACTGTTTTATTGATTATGACCAGCATCAGTGGTGGAGCAGTTAGAAAATTTGCTGTCACACACAGAAGATGTGAGTTCAAATCCCATGCAAAGAGAAGGTTTTTCTTATTGAGTACCTCTATCTGCTGGGTTTATTGTATCACTCTCAGCTAAGGTTAGATCTGACAAGCAAGATTAAAGTAGCTTGCCTCCTAAATAAACTAATTGTTGAACAGGATGAAAAACTACAACATATCATCGTTCATCTCACCAGTTCTTGAGTAATCAGCAGATCGTTTCTTTGCTCATTAGTGACCAGAACATGATTGGCATGCAGGACGATCTCAATATCACAGCGGGCATCGGCAGAAGGTGGTCGCCAACGCTGTCTCACAACGCCACTGGGGACAGTCAAAGACGATAGATGCCATAAGTGAACCTCAGACAATAAATTACAGTAAAACCAGCTCCAATGACCACCTGTCCAAAACAACTGCCTGTTCAAATGACCACTTGCCACTTCCCCACCCCCCCCTTGCGTTTCTTAATAAAATTATAATGACACTGTCAAAGAATATCATTTTCCTCCTTAACAATGGATGTTTGTCTTGGACAAGTTCTACTCTAGGCTTAAATAAGTATAATGAAGGTCTTACACTCTAATCATGTAACAGGACGAAATAGGTCAACTGGTTCTTTTAATAAAAAATTCTATAACCATTGGCGAGGTCAATCTGTGGGTCATCAATAAAAATCTTTTCTCAGAACAAGAACAGACGTCCATTATAACTTATTTAATTATTAATTAAACCTTCTTAAGATTGAGCTCGAGCAGGGAACATCTTTTTAGTTTGTGGAAATTTTTTAAGAAGCCGGTTAGATGCTTAAAATATAACAGCATCAAAATACAGATAAGAGAATTTGTGCATGTTGAGGAACGAGAGCACAACAAACTAACAAGAGTTTCACACTCCCTTCCTCCCACTCACCAGACACTAACATCGTCCCCCGCCTTACAGCTGTCCACCAGGTCATCCTCTAGCACGACCCACATGGCTCGCGGGATTGTCCCCATAGACAGACGCTGAACCTGTTCCTGAATCTTGATCTCCTGGTAGTTACGACAATCACTCGGACCAGCACCTGAAAATAATTCGATAGTCTTTTATGCTTTTGGTAGAACAAGCAAATAGTAATACAATGATGACGATATACATGTATCAAGAAGCAAACAGAAAGATTTCGTTTACTCAGTTGTCATTTTCAGCAATACGGTTTTTTTTTTAGTAAGAGTTTTATGGCACTTGCAACACAATAAGGTCATATAAGTGTCGAAGATTAGAGGTGTTACAAGAGAGTAACAAACATAAAAAAGAAGGAGGAGAGATAAAGACGATAGTTGTTTGATAGGAAAAAAGAAGCAAACCACACCAGAGCAGCCGCGAACCACACACAGCAATATGCTTAACATTTGACTAGAAACAAAGATACATATATTGGCCACATCGAAGGGAAGGGCCCCACATTGTACGATTTTGAATGTCTGTTTTTTACAGACCAGACTTTCAGTCAATGAAAGAACAGCAAAAAAGGGATCCACACTGAAAGATTTTAAAAGGAAAAGGAAAAGATGCCATTCCTCCATGTGAACATACATCCTAAGCAAGAATTGAACCCAAGAATTTTAACCACTAGGCCACTGGTAAATCCAAAAAAGAAAAGAGCACATCTGTTTGTGAGAGTACTTGTGAAGTGCTAGCAAGAATATTGCTGAGAATTTTCAAATCGTTTTACATACATTACAAAACAACTGTCTGACACATACATTACAAAGAGTAAGTAGTATGCAATGGAAGGAATCTCTCCGTCGGTCCATCCGCCCGCTCGCTAATCAAACTGTTGTCTCCGCGCCTGATGTGTAGCGAGTAGCGGACGAATCTTCACCAGGGGACGGCTCATTACCCGTCTGCAAGTTTGCGAGTAGTACCAGCACACCGATCAATACTCACGGACGCTGATTTAGCAAGCCTGACCCACCTCTCCTGAACAGACTAACCTTTGTCTCCTAAAGCCATCAGATTGTTCCCCCCACAAGCCTCGTTGATGCACATTGCAGGTTTCGCCAGACTGTAAAACTGCTCAAAATCAGCCTGCCAGACAGACAAAAAATCTCTCTCAAGGCTCATAAAGACTAACTTTTTTCAATATAAACACACAGATTATACCAATATTGCATGTTTCCATAATTGATTTCCACTAACACTTGTCATCCAAAAGCATAAAATTGCGACTAGTGATGAAATAAAAAAATCTGTTTATCTTGTTCGTACCCTTGAAAAAAATGATTGAAAACTTTTTGTCGAGAAACAATACAAACAGAACATGAAACAAAACCACCATCCATAAGTCTCCCCTTCAAATAATCAGTACATTTTCAGATCGTCTTCTTTTTGTTATTTTTTTCCTCAATGGACAGAAGTGAGATTCACTCTTTGTGCAATGCCATTTGATAAAAAGGTGGTTAAAGCAAACCGTTTTCTTTCAAAAGAATGGTATGGAAAGCCAAAACAAATTTAAATGATCTAGGCTAACAAAGAATTTGCCCATACTTTATCCCACGTTGTCTGTTCAACAGTCAAGCATCCTAACAGTTGAGCTACCAACCCTTTCCATCAACATCAGAGAGGTATAACAAGATGGAAAAACAGTAAAAAGTACTTAGATACTCATAAACCCTTGTGAAAAGTCAAATGTTTAATATAATTTAAATAACTGCTACACAAATAACAAATACAATTGCCAGAAAAGTTCAGGTAAAAGTAAAGTATAACCCCCACCCCCAACATCTTTACTCTGTGCATCATGACCATCATAATACTGTATAAGTATTCATATATGACCTTAGAGCATGCATCAGAATAACATTGAGTATGTATCTAGCTTAAGATTAATATTGTTTATATTGCTGCTCATTTATATTATGCATGTGATTGTAAGCCTGTGTGTGTGTGCATGTTTGTGTGTATGTGTGTGTGTGTGTGTGTGTGTGTGTGTGTGTGAGTGTGTGTGTGTGTGTGTGTGTGCGTGCGTGTGTGTGCGTGCGTGCGTGCGTGCGTGCGTGCGTGCGTGCGTGCGTGCGTGCGTGTGTGTGTGTGTGTGTGTGTGAGTTTGTTAGTGTGTGTACACGAGGTGAAACACCAAACCAATGCGCCAGGATCTGGACAATAAAGATGTATCTTATCTTATCTTATCTTATCTTATCTTATCTTATAGTCAGCAGTTTCCTGTTCCCGTAAAACAACTGCCGCCTCACTGTGACCCCCGCAGTGACCTCAGACGTTGAGCACTAGATCAAACAGTTTGAAAGGTGGGAGAGTGAGGTGTACTTTACTTTTACCAGAGTTACAGACATGAAGTGACAGAATGCTATTCAGGCGAAACAACAGCATTGCGGGAAGACCAAGGGTCATGAGGAAATAGGTCACCTTGGCTGTGATGACAGTTCTACACCTAGTACACATGTACTCTCGCTCATGCTCCAGCATCTTCACTTGCGTCGTGCGAATCACCGTCCCTGAAAGAGAGACAACCACTTCAATTTTCGAAATTTGGATAACATATTCATCAAACAGTTTTTTTATTCATTCAAACTCTACTGAAGACAATTGCTTTTTAAAATAAATTTTCTGTCAGCATATCTATATCATGGTTTATAACTTAAAAGCTATGTTGAGCACAGCCAATGACACACATTATAATACATGTGTCATGGCGCACTGGAATCAGGCGCTCATCAATTTTGGAGCATATGGAGTTATTTGAATCATCCGGAGGCTTATTTATTTACCTTTCTTTCGATGAAAAAAATACCCATCTACCTAGAATAGAAGTCAAGATATTTGCAATTCAAGAAGTTGGGGGTTAAATTTAGGAGAACATGGCCTTCAAAGTTTGGTAACTTCTATAACTTGAGAGTCCTTGAAATGACATATATTTTGTACCATTAATCAATATTTTTCAGTAAAATTCACATGGAAAAGTATTTTAATATGGACAAAAGAGGTGTTGATCCAAAAAACACAAATTCGACAAAAATTGAAAAACTGGAGGGAAAATGCCTGTTTCTTCGGTTTCATTATTTTGACGAGCCACGATACCACACATATAGTAAATTTCTTACTGTAAGCAGCTGAGAAGCATTCTAGCAAGAACTACTATGCTGTACTCGGTAGAATTAAAGTCAAGTTTCACATTCAGGAACCTGCGTCCATGCATTCATATGCAAAAATACTTGCAGTTGGCCTGAGTAGGATTCACTTGTGCTCAAAAGTACTGCACAGAAAAGCAAGCGACTGAATCCAGGTTACAATTTTATTAGTGTTAAGTCAGCGTAAAAAGGTTTCTTTTCATTAGCATAAAAAAGTTTTTGAGCTTCATTAGACCATTGGCACGAGTACATTTTCTGTGGCTGTGATCCTGTTCCTTGTTTTCTCAGCAAAAAATGAAACTTAGGGACGCACTGTCAAAAGCTTGTGAGTACATCATAGCAAGACTCTTAGAGAAATACAGCCATACCTGTGACTGCCAAAAAGCTGCCGACATCTTGTGTCCGTGGTAAAGTCGTTTTGATCAGCTCTGGGCAGACAGGAAGTGACATCACCCGCACATGAACCTTTCTTTTCACAGTCTGCAATACACAAAAAGGTGTATTTCGACTAACACATAAATGTTTTGCCTTTTCACATTCAAAACCTCAATTCCATCAATAAAGTAATTCTTTAAAAAATATTACATCTACTACACATAATGAAGATAGTTTTCATCCTCTTTTGACAAAATGAATCACTATATTAAAGTCAGTGTGAAAATGTATACAAACATTCAAACAAATCACCACAAAAATCAATACATTTCTTCAGCACTAGACATCTAGTTCAAATCCCCCTGAGCTTCAAACACACCAGGTGAGCACACTGACTGCTCTCCTCCTGTCTCGTCTTCAGAAGAACTTGTGCGTCCACCAAAGCGACGTCGAACCTGTCCAGTGTGTCCAGAGGCCGGGGCAACAGCTGATCGCAGAACTCTGTGTTGGTCTCAAACAGTGAAGTGGCGCTTGAAAAGAAAAGAAAGACATAAGAAAACTATCCAAAGAGAAAGTATAGGTCGTACTAAGGTACTTAAATCCTTCCCCATTATTAGTTTTAGTTTAAGTAGAGGCTTTACGGCGCTCGCAACTGCATTAGGTCATGTGAGTGCCTTCCCCACTATAATGGGTTTTAGTGACATGAAAAACCTGTTTGGTCATAGTATATTTCTTCCAACTTTCCATGACAGTCCACTGGGAGAATACAGCATGGCAGGTTGTTTGGTGCTAAAATTCTATCATTCATGCATTGTAAACCCAACAATGGCTTCTGGTCAGTCTTCAGCGATATATCAGACTGATCTCCTTCCAAGAGCGATGGCCAATCAGCATATCATAAAATATGGTAAAAACATGGTAAATGTGTTAGCAAATTTCCAAGTTACATATATGTATTATATATATAAAGAAAAAAAAACATACTAGCTGAATTTTTGTGTGGTCAACCCTTCTATAGAGTATAGAGCTGTGAAAGCTGGACAATTCTAACAAAAGATGGTGAAAATAAAACAGGCAACAGAAATGTAGTTTAGACTGTTGAAGATTTCATAGACGGAACAATGGTATGTTCTGTAATACTGGCTATATTGGCACAAATGTGTGCATGACATGATGATGGTGTCAATGTAAATGTAACATTATAACCTCTGCATTATTTGATGTATGCATTGTGTACATGACAAGGCTGCCTGAATTTCTCTACCACAATATGAAAGTGGTACCTCTCTTTTCTTTTTCCCACACAAAAAAAGCAAGGAACATCTAGAGATAGCAGCTATGGTCTGCTTTTTGATGGACACAGCTTCTTTCTCCATACTGAACTGAATGTCAAAAATGCCAGTTTAAAAAAATGTATTTTGTCATCTCCCTTAAATTTACTGTGCAGGAAACAGAGGAACAGTTTCATACAAACTTGACCAAAATATCGTGAAAATAAGAGGTTTGAATCGTCAAATCTGAGTGGAATCAAAATATTTCTCTCCATGCATGGAACATTTCTGCTCCAAATTTCCTCCTGAAGGAAGACAGAGTGAATGGTCTTTGAAATTATCTAAATAAAATTCCTGCAGAGCAAGATATTAAAATCAATAACATATCAACAAATAACATACTCCACAGTGACATGATAGAATTCATCCTCATCATCCTCTTCCAAGACTGTTAGCACATCTTGCTCATGCTTGTCAAGCAGGTAGGACTTGAAGGCATCTGCATTGAAAAAAATAATAAAATGTAAGGCCTACAGTTCTGTTTTACAGGAGCCCCCCTGTTTTAGCCTGATTTCATGTTTTGCAGAATTAGGAAATTGAAATTTTCTTGAAAATAACTGATTTGCGACAGTTTTAGTGGCTGTATGTGTGATCTGCAGCAAAAAATAACTCAAACTGACACCCAAAGCAGTGCATCTGTGTGTGGGAGAGTGAGAGAAAAAAAATTTCTAAATTTTGAAATTATTTGACCGTTTTTCTTGGAACTTACACGACTAAAAGCCGGTCTAAGCCTGATTCCTAATTGCATAGAGGGCCTATAATGTTTCACACTTTGGACCGATCCAGAGGGTTTCAGGGGGATGCCCCCTGAGATCAAAAAAAAATCTGGGAGGTTTCAGGGGGTGAATGCCCCCCTGTTTTTTTAATCTGATGTTCTGCAATTAGATTTGAATTTTCTTAAATTTGTTACGGTTTTACTTTTAGTGGCCCTGATGTATGATAAGCAGCCATATAATCATTATTATTATCATCCATTAAAATAACCAGGAAGAGAGTGCACTGATGCAATCTTCGCACTCCGACAACTGTGTGAGAGGGCTTTGGAATACGACCAAGATCTCCATCTCGTATTTATGGATCAAGAAAAAGCCTTTGATCGAGTAAATAGGAACAAGCTATGGAAGATCCTGGAGCAGTACGACATCAAGGGACAAGTTCTGCTAGACAACATCAGGACTACCTATGCCAACAGCAGAAGCACAGTCCGCACTACCAGAGGAACACCGGACAGGTTTCCAGTAACATCTGGAGTCAGACAGGGCTGCAATCTCTCCCCTCTGCTCTTCGTGATCTACATGGACCAGATTACAAAGGAGGCTAATCCAGACTCCGAGGCACTCAACGAACTCATATTTGCAGACGACCTGGCAATGATGAACAACAAGACCCAGTTACAGGAGCATATGAACCAACTAAATGCAAGCTGCGAGAAATATGACATGACGACCGAAGTCATGACAATTAGCAGGAGACCAAAGTGGATATCAACATCAATGGATCCCAACTAAAACAAAGAAAAGAATTCAAACACTTGGGCAGCATTTTCACAGAAAATGAAAAATTAGAGAGAAATAGAGACTAGAAGCCAGAAAGCCGACGCAGTCAGCTATCAACTCGGCCCTCCCCTGAAACATCCCAATATCCCCATAAACACCAAGGCGAAGCTCATCAACGCCATTTTCCTTCCAACACTCCATATCAGTGCCAGACATGGTCCCTAACATAAGCCCTAGAGAGGAAACTGGTCACATGCGAGATGAAATGCTTAAGAAGAGCGGTCAACAAAACAAGAAGAGACAAAATAAAAATATGAATTCGTAAGGGACAGCGTAGGGGCAACACTAGTCACTACCACACACATTGAATATAACAAAAGGTCAAGTGGTTTGGACACCTCACACAGATGCCCTCAAACCATCCAGCTTTGAGAGCATACAATCATTAAATATTCTGGATGGAGAGCCAGAGGAAGACCAAAGCGACGATGGAGTGAATCTGTGGCAGACACCCTCAGAGCTCACGGGATGTCCCTCCTACAGGCCACTCGCCTTGCAGCAGACTGACGCCTGTGTCTCCCCGCGACACCCACCGGTACAAGTGGAAGAAAAAAGTAAAAAGTAAAGTAAGTAATACAACCATAATTTGACCTCTAAAAAACGTAGTGCATCTCAGATCTGTGTTGTGTGCAGGAGTGTAACTTAAAATTTAGATCTCCCAAGATCGACAATTTCAATTTCAGGTGTTTATTTATTTGTTTAAAAATGCTCTTCAATCTCATTGCAACACAGTGCAGGCCTGATACTGATATAACTGACACACCTAATCTCCACTTAAAGAAGTTACTAAAGTAGTAAACTATGAGTAGTAATAAAAATAATTAATTAAATAAAAAGTAACTTAGACTTTTTTTTATTGCTAAATCTATATATATATATTTAAAACCGTGTTAACTTTGGGATTATAATCCGGTTTTGGCCCCAACGATTTAACGAGGGAGTGTGGGGTTTGGTTTCACCATCGATTACTTCTGCTTCTGAACAATTGCTTGTGCCGATAGAAAGCCTATTATATGTTTGACGCTCAGCGAGCAAGAGATCTGAATTGCAAAACATCAAATTATGGTTAAATTATTTAGGGGGGCATGCCCCTCTGAAACCGCCCATCTTTTTATAAGGTCAGGGGGCAAGACGCCCTTAAACCCCCCTTGTTAAAAACACGTGAAATATTAGGGTGCCTACTAACTACTGGATTCATTTTGTGCTGAAAAATAGAAGCGCATCTCTCGCTCTCTCTTTCGCATACTTATTAATCACCGATACTATACCGAGTAGGCCTAGGCTATTAAATTTAGCCTGTGGCTATGCTGTATGGCCCTCCTCCCGTACGCATAGAGGGCTTGTGGCTGTGCGTTCGGCCCTCCCTTCATACGGCCCTTAGATTATGAGAAGTATGCTCACGGCCTTGATAATCGCTCAGCTGGACCGCGTCACTTTATCGATCGATATCTAGGCCAAGACAAAGATCGTGTAAGATAGTTCACCCCTCTAAAATTGAGCCAATTAAAAGTGTCCTCAATATTCGGTGGCCCCCTCTTCAAAAAAGTGCGGACTTTGCGACCACAGTTACCCTACTTGTAGGAAAATATATATAATAAAGGAAGAGGCTAGCCGTACTTAATGACTTATTCTTAAATATGATGGCTAGACTGACCATTTACAAAAAATAGGCCTACTGAATGGTAAATATACATTTTTAGTGTGCAGTACCTAAAGCATTTGTATTTGAGACGAAACCGGGTGCCTTAATGACAGTGTATGTATTTTAAAACCTCCTGTTTTCTAATGTTCATAGGGCCTAAGATAAGTACGGCTAGACTGGCAGTCTAGCCGTACTTAAGTACGGGTAGACAGCCAGGCTAGTGGTACTTAAGGACGGCTAGACTGTCAGGCTAGCCGTACTTCATATTGATGGCTGTATTGTAAATGAAATTTTTAGTTTGCAATGCCAAAAGTATTTGTATTTCAGACAAAACCAAAAGGTGCCTTACTGACTTGCATGTATTTGAACCTGAATAATTACTAGATCTAGGTCTAATGAGACCTGTGTACTTAACAGGCTTGAGTCGATTGGGCCAAACCTAGATCTAAGTACGGCTAGACTGCCAGTCTAGCCGTACTTAAGTACGGCTAGCCACTTCGTGTATAATAAAAGTGAAACTAACATTAACAAGCTGTGCTATTCCTATAGTAGATTCTTCTTTTGTGGTGAAACGAAAGAGCAGAGCTTCAAAACAAAGACTGCAGCGTCATCTGAACCAATGTGCGGACTTCCGCGGACACCTTTTTGGCTGAGTGAACTATTTTGCTATGTTGTACGATCTTTGGCCCGCCATAGACGCTCTACTGGGTCAAGATAACTTGCAAAGTCATTGGTCACTATAAAATTTATAACTTTGACCTGTAATTTACTACGTCATTTTCCATATATATCTAGATCTAGATCTAGATTAGATCTAGTCTAGATTCTAGATCTAGTTGTATAAAAAGTATAAAAAGAATATTTAAAGTCAAAGTCAAAGTCAAAGTAGTGTAACGAACTCTTCAGTTCCTCTTGCGACGAAACAGACATATTTTCGTCGGCTCCAGTTCCACTTTAAAGAAAAGAAGAATTACTTCTTGACAGGGGACTAATGAATCACATGACTCTACTGTCAGCTTAATTATTTTCGGCTTTACGCTTCATAAATTCCAGTTTATTTTGGGAATACACTGATGTTCACGATTAAAGAACGCGCCATATTGTAAACAGGAAGTTTAGTCCTAGTGATCTCTCTTCTCTTTGCTTCTCGCTTTCTTCTTCAAATCTTCGTATCGCTACCTTGTAACCTAATAATAATAATATTTTTAAGAGTATGCGCTCCATTATTTTATTTTTTTTTTCTTAGCGGAATGTAATTACGATATTATGTTTAACCATTCAACGAAATACGACAGGGGACAACTTGGCCTAGGCTCCGAGTAAAAATCGATTAAAAGACTATTACATAATATCAACTCACCAGCATTGATGAACCAATACTTTTGAATGCCTAGGTTTCCCGTTGTTTTAATTAAGACCCCACCTGTTGCCATTGATCGAGAAAGGTTCCCGTTAATTAAGATTAGTTTATTTTAGAGACTGTCAGGTCATGAGTTCTGCACTGGTGTTCTGCTTAAGAATGATTATAAGGGCTTAATTGTGTAAAGCGAGGAGAGAAAGAGAGGGCACAGAGAAAGCGAGAGACACAGAGGGGGGAGGAGAGGAGAAAGAGAGAGAGGATGGAGAGCAGAGATGGGGAGGGAGAGGGGAGGAGAGGGAGAAGGGAGGATGGGACGGGTTATGTAAAAGAATAAAAAC